CACTGAGGCGCGCTTAAATCGTTATAAAGGACTTCGAACATCACTAAATATCAGTTCAAAACAACGATCTGGGCGCTTACACACATACAATTCAACATCACTTAAAGAAACGGTAAAAATGATAGGAAAAGCAAGCAATACATTACATTACTGAGCAATAGGGTTAGGGTTCTGGAAAAGAGTTCAACGTCTTGAGTTACACAGTGTCAGTTACAGTGTCCAGCGAGCGGTACTCTAAGCAAATAGCTAAAGTTCTAATCAAAGTCTATAAGCGTCTTCTTCTTTCGTCGCGTTAGTTCGGGGTCGTTCTTTGTCATCTTCTTGTCTTTAATGTCGCTCAATTCTTAATTATACAGTCTTATACAATACTCATCCTTCCGAAGGGGTTCTGAAATCTTCATCTCTTCAGCGTTGTACATCGGTGTCGTTCGGGTAAAGCCGTTAGTCGTCAAGCGCGGTTTCGTCTTTGCCATCGAGCCAGTTAGTTCGGTTCGCAAGAAAGACACACCTTCGCCATTTCACTTCTCTTCACAGGATGTCAATGTGTGTTAAACACCTGCCCGGGTTCATCCAAAACGTATCACGGGGAAATCTTTCTCTCTATGGGTTTCTCCACACGTGTCAGGGGGGAATCTCGTCTCGTCTCTATATCTCGTCCCCTTGAGGTACGGGATCGGGAAAGTCACTTATACTTTACAGTCAAATAAGGCACACACAACGAAATACGTTTCAGCTCTCGTCTTAGTCGATCTTTTGGAGCACTCTATAAGACACAGCGCCCTGGGGAAAAGTCCCCAAGACTCTCACAAGGCTGAACCAAGACTCGCCCAAGACTGGACTGCGTCAAGGCTCGCCCCAAGACTCTCTTAGACTGGACTCGACTGCCCAGGACTGCACTCTCTCTCTACTGCGTCTATCGTGCTGTACTCTCCAAGACCAACTCAAACTCTCTTTATTCATTTTCAAAACTCTAACCAATTACAAAGCAGTAAAAAGACTCTAGGGCGTAACCTTCAATCATAAAGCCAATCACACTAAGTACTGAATACGTCATATCTTTTGATTAATCGTTCACTACATTAATAACTACGGATATAAACTGTCAAAATGAGTAGTCTAAAAAGCGGCGGTTATCTGGTAATTAGTTCCAAATCACTGAGCCAAGTTCCGTCCAAAACTTCAAATAGACCTAAACGATGACAGACATAACACAGCAATTCGCTAGTAATCAACTAATTAAGTCGGTCAACAGATACGCGAAAACAAATTCATGACATACCCATGCAGATTTTGATTTGCCAGTACATGATCCATTTTAACACCTACTCATAACAAAATGTACATAAATATCGAACTACTGTTAGTCAGCCACAAATAATGGTATTTTAATGCAGTAGGCCTATTGTAACCATATTAAACTACTGGCTTGATATGTTATCATCTGTTTCTTTTGTTTAGAAAACGTGGTGTTTACACAACCCAATTTTTTGCTTCAAAGCGCTGGCCCGATGGAAAAGTTAACTATATTTTTGATAGCAATTCACAATTCAGTAAGTATGCGTTTCTATATTTTGGACATTAGGAAAGTTTTTATGTTAATACTTGTATAAAAAGTACTACTCGAATTTATTTATTTATTGATTGATTGATTGATTGATTGATTGATTGGTTGGTTGGTTGGTTGATTGATTGATTGATTGATTGATATTTATTTATTTATTTATTTATTTATTTATTTATTTATTTATTTATTTATTTATTTATTTATTTATTTATTTATTTATTTATTTATTTATTTATTTATTTATTTATTTTGCGAAGACTATTATTTTTAATTTATTGTTTTAATTATTTTTATTTAATAGCCAATGTTCAAAAAAGTATTGTAAGGAATGCTTTGTTGGGTATTGAACAATTAACGTGCTTGACGTTCATTGAAGCCACTGCATCCGATTATATAAGTGTCGTAAGTGGCCTAGGGTAAGCCGGTTAACTTTGAAATTTCTTACTTTTTCATGAAAACATTATGCTGTATTACTCTCCTGTTCAACTAGCAGTTGCCCATCTGCCACTTGTGTATCTTTCTTTTTAATTTTCGATAAAATAAATGCTATTTTTGACTTCTTATTGAATTCCGAGGAATCACAGATATAGTGTATGCCATTTTTTAATCGTTTCCCAAATGTTCAAAAAAAATATGGCAGTCGGAACATACAAAGTTAAGAACATTTATTTTAGTGTTTATGAACCTATATCTATACAATAATCTTGTTTCCTTTAAAGCGGGGGAAGGGGGGTCGTCACCTGCGCACGCGCGGGAATTGAGTCCCAAGCGACGATAACAACACACGCTAAAACGCAAATGCTCATGGGTAGACGCTTGTTTGTAAACGCATGCGCAGGTGGCGACTCCCCCGCTTTAAACAAATTTGTACTAAATTTGTTTCGACATATTAAGCTGAAAATAATGATAACATATAACGTATTATTGTATTGTACATCAGATGCATTTCATACGTTGGTAGAATGGGAGGAAGACAAGAGCTGACCCTTGCAGATAATTGTTTCGCGGAGGGAATAATTCAACATGAATTCATGCACGCTATTGGTTTAATTCATGAACAATCCAGATATGACCGTGATGATCATATAACGATTAACTGGGCCAACATTAAAGAAAGTACGACCAATTGTGATTTTCGTTTCACGTGGTATTTTTTGTCAGAATATATACGTCTTAATTATCCGTCATTTTTTCGTTCTTGCTTGTAATTTAATTGCATAAAAGTTACTCCTAATTCATTTGATATAACGCCAAATATTATTTCAAGAGAACATTTTTTAGTTTTAGTACCGTGGAAATGTGCAGTCACTTTGTACAAGCCGGTGATTGTGCGCGTGATGCACGAACTTCAAACGAGTCAACATAATTATTAAGCGCATTTAAAAACCTTTATTGCATTGAACTAACTGGAACAGGTTTTCATGAACAATTCACGTTGATTTTTTAGACTATATAGACAACTTCGACATGGTTCTTCCGTTTTTTTTGGACGTGCAGGGAACTGCATACGATTACGGCTCCTTAATGCACTATGGTCTGTACGACTTCGCCATTGACACTAATATTAGAACGATTATACCTAAGACGGATACTGATATTTTCATTGGTCAACGAAATGGCCCAAGCGACACGGACCTTGTTGAAATAAATACATACTATGGATGTACACGTAAGACCAATGACACTTTTTTTTTCAATTAACTAGTTTATGTTTTTAGCGGTATAAAATATATGACTCACCAATATTTCACTTGCAATTATAATGAAGTATAACATGTATGTTTACGCATGCATAACATGAGTTGTCTCCGTCAAAAGATGATGGAAACTGGTCCCCTTGGAGTGCATGGACGGATTGTTCAGTGACATGCGGTGGATCTACCGAGACAAGAACTAGACTGTGTGACAATCCTGCGCCATCGACGACCCTCCCAATAGGAGCACCATGTGCCGGCGAAAACACCGAAATCCGGACATGCATGGTGAATGATTGTCCGTTAGATATAGGTAAGCGCTGACGTCACTGATGATATGAACGCAATGGTTGCCAGCTATTACTTTGAGAGAAGTTATACGTATATTCCTCCGAGACAAATTGATAATTTTACCCCCGGATGCATGAGTGTCCCTAATGACTTTCACTGGCCTTAACCTTCTCCGAGTACACACATTTAGCTCCCGATTTCATAATATTGAAATTGTATATAAATTACTTTATGTGTATATGGTGAAAACATTTAAGCTTTGTTCGAATATTCGCATCTTAAATAAACACCGGAATCCAACATGCATGTACCATATTACACCAATGATTAGTTTAATACCGCAAGAAAACTCTTTGACAGTTTATTCTAATATGCGTTTATTAACATCTTTGTACAGATTACGATTACAAAGGCTGCTGGTCTGATATTAGTCTGCCGGCGTTGCTACCTTCATTGGAAAATACGGGTAATCTGTATTTAGATGGTGAATATACATCAAGGACAGACAAGACCAGGGTAAAGTTATTTTCGCCCAATAAATAATACAATCATATTATCAATATTCAAAGTCGGTGCCTAAATGGTCGCATTTGAGGTCCCAAATGCGACGAAATAGAATCAGCTTTTAACACATCAGTAAAGCTAACTATTGGAATCCCCCGAAGTCAGTGCGTTGGGTTGCATGGCAAGGCTATCTTTCAATTCGTAGATCTTCTTTTTTCATCACACAGAAATGTGCAAGAGCCGCGGTCCATGCACAGTATCAGTACTTTGCTCTTCGGTATGATGGAAAATGTTTCGCTACATCAGATGAAGGACTTTATCAGTCGCAGGGTGTTTCCCTAGGTTGCAATTCTGGGCTTGGAAGTGGAAATGCCATTGACGTTTACGAGATTAAAGGTATAATGCTCAAATGTCAGAGTGTCTCGTATCATCTCATCTACACGATCTGCAGAGTGAAGGTGTAATATTTTCAACTGAGATGCCAGCAACGAGACTTACTTTCATTGTTTTTAAATAAAAGTCGTAACATTGCGTACCGGAACTCATATAGATATTATGCTGCGATGAAAAATATATACTTGCACTTTGAATTGAAACATACGTTCATAAACTAATTATTTCACATGTGTACTTAGTGCACCAAATTAATTATATAGATTATTTTGCCACATACATTGTTTGAAGTCCTATAAAATTGTTATAAAATGTCACATTGCATTCTTTTCCTGATAGAGTGGTTATGTTCAGATGATACACAACCAATTGGATTCTGCGGTTTACCAACGGTACAAACTCCCTACACAGTAAGTAGCTGCACCGCCGACTGCCAGACAGTGGGAGGGACAACAACCGATCCAGTAGCAATATGTTGTACGAAAAGTGAGTTACATGTTATTGTAGATGACAGATAACGAAGTATTAATGTTTACCTTCGCAGAGTCAGGTTGTCCGCCAACGTCATCAACTACGGGCATTACTCGTCATGGTGGCATTTTTGTTATTCATAATACATTTTCCGTTCAACTGCGAGATCTCGCGAGATGCATGAAAGACGCGCGTCGAACGTCTGCACAAAAATCTAACGATTTGATTTTGAACTCGAATTTCTTTATTTCGTAGCTCACATCGACCGACCGATCTTCGACAGAGGAATATTGCTCTCGAATACCCTCACTTAATCGAAATTGTCTATCATCAAATGTGTACAGCACATTATTAAGCATGGAAATGCCCCCAAAATATTTTCGCGTTTGTCGAATCTACGCGATGTTTGACGCCACTACGACGCTATGACCTTTGTTTGTCCTGTTTTTACGTTCGATTTCACGCATAACGCGTGATTCTCGCAGTGAACGGAAAATGGTCTAGGAACTATCACCAATCGGTGATATTATCACCGGAGCAAAATCCTTTAAAAAGAGGATCAGTGTGATTATGTTTTCCCAGTTTTTACGTCGCTAGATCGTACGTAACTCTGTCAGCAGTCATTTTCGATACAAGAAGAGCTATATGTCCGCTGCTAGCCTCATTTCATGGTGTAAGGTATACACTGGTGCAATATAATGCGCATCATGTTTATATTTACAGAGCAGTGTCGTTACTACTGTGGATCATTTATTGCTGAGCGGAATTGTTGGTGCGATAACGCGTGCGTCACGTATGGAGACTGTTGTCCTGAGTACGCCAACGACTGCTCAGGTATTCGTTATGATAATATATATTTAATTGTGATCAAACGAGAAATGTTACAAAAAATTCGTTGGAAATAAGCAGTATATCCACCAAAACAATGACATTGTCTATTTTAACTCACTCTAAACACTGTCTATGTGTGTTTACGTTGACATTGGAGTATCAATTGTCATATATCCAATACGAAATTGATATTGTGTGAAATATATGTGTAAAGTGCATATGATAAACCACAGTGTATGTGACGGGTCTACTCAATGAGATATTACACACAGGATTGTAGTGTTTATAATATAAATTGCACGGCACTCTCCGTCGACACAGAGACACTGAACTGTTAAGGCTGTTTGTAAAACACATTTAAATTTGTCCCATGTTATGACGCAAATGACTCTAATTCTTACGTACTATGTGTTTCTTCTTGATTGCATGCAACGACATGCATTTTCAAGGTTTCTTTACAAAATGACGTCACTTATCAGTAGATTGACGGTAGTGTATTATATTATGTTTATTGCAGGCTGGGATGTTTGTTATGCTTTTGGTGATCCACACTATTGGACTTTTGACAATGTATATTTTGACTTCCAAGGGGGTTGTGAATATGTACTGGTCGGCACAGAGTGTTTTGGTAGTTACAATCATTTCTCCGTGACTGTCAAGAATGATTTCGTGTCGGGGCTCCCTCTGAGTTCGACCTCAGAGGTGACATTACAAGTTTATGGCAAGGTGTGTATCACAATACTATCTGCGTATACGTACGGAAATCAACATGTTAATTTGAGGAGTAATTACTTAGGTAACTTATTAACGTAAGTGTTATCTTCACTAACAGGTTATAAAATTATTACCGTATAAGGCGGTGACAGTTGACGGCGTTACTGTTCACCCACCCATTCAACTATCCAATTTTCTGAGCATTTATCTGGCTGGATCTTGGCTGGTAAGTATGGCGATGCTTGAGTGATCACCCAATATTGCCCTTTTCCCAAGCCAACGACACCATGGCGTTGTATGCATAACAACATAACTAGACCAACTTAATGACACATAATATCTGTAATCTAACTACAACTATTAAATATCCTCAGATTGTGAACACAGGGTACGCAATGAAAACATACTGGAACGGAGATTCGACTGCTGCTGTTGTACTGTCGAAAACTCACCAAAATTCGGTGTGTGGTCTCTGTGGCAATTTCAATGGTAATCAGAATGATGAATTCATTGCACCAGCCGGGGATTTGGTAAACATATTTAAGTTTATTTAGTATAATGTGGTTATTATTGTGTACTGTTTTTCAATGTAATACTGAACATACATGCATGGACTGTAGTACACATATCGTTTGTATCTATACTGAGTATACATTCGTCCAAATTATACCAATGATCTGATTTAAATTCTCAACAGGCACCATCTGCTAGCTCATTTGGCGAGAGTTGGCGGATTGGGACAAGCTGTCACCAAAGTGCACGTTCAGTGCATGATGAGATTCCACGCGACACAGCCTTAGCAGAGCAAATTTGTAACGACCTTTTCAACTCTGGTAAATAGGTTCTCAGTATGATTTGTATTGGATTCCGATAAACTTATATGCTGCGTTACATGTTATGCTTTTATATGTGTTTTGTCATTAGTCAGTCACGAAGGTGAACTATGCAAATGGGCAATTGGGCATAAATTTCAAAATATTTCCTAATATTGAATGAGTGTATTATATTTCGTAGGTAATATATCGGATTGTACCCTCGACCCGGCAATGTTTAGTTCAGCCTGCTTATTGGATCTTTCAGCAACACTTCCCAACGACACTACTGGTGGATGTGCGGTGGTTGCAACGTATGTTGCTCAGTGCCAAGCGCAAGGAACCATGGTCGGCGATTGGCGAACTGGAACAGAGTGCGGTATGGATAGTATATATTAATATAATCAATGTTTAATCGTACCAATGTAATAATATTATTTAATTAATATTTTCTCTGTGTGTAGAAATACTGTGTCCAGCTGATTTCGCTTACACGACATGTGGATCAGCCTGTCCTCCAACGTGTGAAGACCCTTACCCAGTTGGTTCATGTACTGAGGAGTGTATCGAGGGTTGTTTCTGTGAACCTGGTAAATTAATTGATAGTGGGCAATGCATTGACCAAGCGGACTGTGGCTGCTACTATCTGGGAGTATTGTATAGGGTAGGCACAATATAGATCAAGTTGAACCCTAGAGTCAAATATATAGCTGTGATATGAATATATTAGTACGTGCCACCTCGTATATCATAATACTTAAAGTTGATCATTTCTTGTTTCAGTTTGGTGAAACACAGCCCAATGAAGTAATATGCTCTTGTAACAGTGAGTGCTTGTTGTTTCATTTTTTTCATTTACAATAGTTGTCTATACGTCCCAAAACATCTATGATTCAACGGACTATTAAGCGGTCCCAATATAGTGAGATCTAGGTCAGATAAATCTGATGAATTGTATCACGCTGAGGTCACTGATCAAATAACAAATCGCAATTACATTTATATTTGTAGTCCCCGATACCGTGTGTGTCGGTTGTCGACATTTCGAGATAAACACAGATGAGGTAACGTGGGCGACTGCGAAATCCAACTGCGAAAGCCAAGGTGGAAGACTTGCTATGATAGACACACAAGTAGTATTCAACAACATTCGTAAATATATATTTGGTAATCAAATCGATGACGAAATTCGAAAAGGATTTTGGTTCGGGCTTGATGATATTGACGTTGAAGGTTCGTTTGTCTGGAGTGACGGCACGCCGCTAGGAGATTTCACAAAATGGGCAAAACGACAACCAAATAACAATGTCAGATCCGACCCAAATGGGCAGGACTGTGCTCAGTTATGGTAAGCAAACTGTTTCGTCTTTAAATTGTTGAAGGCTACTAATTATTCACACGAAGCAGTAAATAAAGATATAATTTTGTTTTCTCCAACACCTGATATGATGTCATCAATTACTGTACACAAACATTTTTATAATGACATTCACTCAACAGGAAATTGAAAACTTTGAAATGGGACGATACTTACTGCAGTCAGAAGAATGGATACATCTGCGAATATAGTGAGTAACATTGATAACTAGACTAGAATGTCATTAGAGTATACGGAAAGTTTAACACTTTGGTGTACATGGCAAGCGTTAATACTTTACGCCTACATTGGTTTGGTGTCACTAAAACCTACTTTTTTCTAGCTTCATTGTTATATATTTCTCATATGCGATTATTCTATATTGTTTCAGCTGACCAGTGTATATAAGAATCCGTTTAAATCGACCGATCTCTCGGCGTACCTGCAGATCACTGTGGTGTAATTTATTTATTTGCATGCTACTTATGATGATTAGTCTGTGACTGAATATGTTGTATACTAGATACATACTCGCATAAATATACATTATATTCAAATTTTCCTTTTGCCCTGTATTATGTCTATCTATGGTTGCCGAAAGCCATTACGAAATCATTCGGACATCCGAAATGAAATATTTTCCTTTCTCAGCTGTCTGCAGTCTCTTAATTACTATATTGCATGATATCGCAACGATGAGAAATTTTAATAGTAGATTAAAATCACGTATTAAAAATTATGAAATATAGTGTGGTGTATATATTTAAAGTGGAAATGTGGATAAATATTGGTAATTCATGAAATAGTCACAATACAAGCTACCATCATAAGAAGTATCAGGTTAATAGTTCCTCACTAAAAGATCTCTCAAAGAAATCAAACACAGCGGCGCGTGCTCTGTTGCCTTTCAATGCCTTTCGCTTGTTTATGTCAGTTATGTTGTTTATGTAATGCCATGATAAAGGACGACACAATCTATTGGTTGAAATTTGAAAGTGGAGTGAGTTGTCGTCACAAGACAATGCTGAATGATGAATCATTCAATTTAATTGAGGTCAAATAACACGATCACGCACGGGTTCATTAGCTGGTCGGCTTTGAAACCGTGCGAATCGAAAGATGTCAACAATATAACAACATTTTCCACAGGTGCATGCTCATCTAACGTCAGCCAAACATGCGATGCACGGTTTTTTATTTTTCTGAAATTACACCTACTTAATTCTAACATCGTTTAATTGAAAACTGCTGACTGTTAACGTACGGCTACAAGGACGCTAATGAGTTTTATGGTGATGTGTTGTCTCAGTGTACTTGTGTTACGTAACTTGTATAGAAAGACTATGTACGGCTAATGATATGTAGAAAACGCATCCGAATCATGTAGATATTATAGTAAACTACATGTTGCAATAAACTACAAACATCCTGCTTAGCTGACTCAGCAGAGTGACCATGCATTCAAACAGCTCGTCGATCTGAAACCCCAGGGTTAAAAACGATTAAAAATGCTTCAAAATGTCCATTTTATGGAGAAAAAAATAAACTTGAGTGCTGTGAGAACAACATATTTCTGACGATCAGTCCTCTCCTAGTAAATGGTAATGTCGAGATCAACGAAACTAGTAAAGAGGCTATGTTTAGAACAAAGGAGTACTTTCTCAGTAAACGGGCATTGCTGAGAATGAAGAAACTAGTAAACGGGCACTGTTTGGAGTATTTCCTAGTAATTGCTGAATCCAAATCGGCCGCTATCGGAGATTAGCGGACTGCTAGAACAATGTCCACAAACCATACAACAGTATTACTATACTTCTTCTATCTGTAACAATTGCCCCAAAACAAAAATAATTAACTGAAGTTATATTCACAATTGACATAGTGAATGTAATGTTGTAACCCAAGAAACTGGCTGTGTTACTTATGTGGTATAAGTAATTGTCTTCGTCCTACGTGTCATTAGTAGTTTAACCCCATTGCGAAAATTACTATATTTAAACGCATATATGAATGGATTACAACAAAATTGAGCAATTGTAATACCAACCGAACACATCGACTTCAGCTCTATGGGTCAAATGGCCATAAGATGTAGACTAGTCCAACAAACTGCGTAAGCGCTAACAACCATCACTAACATTGACACAAATAGTAAACACAAGGTGATACAAATTTTGCTTATGTTTAAATAATTGAATAAATAATTCCATTAAAAATACTTACTAACTTCAAATTGCTCTATTTTGAAGACCCGACAATGCGGTAATGTCGTTCAAGTAACAAGTATATGTAGATTACGCTCACAGTCAGCTGGCTCACACGTGAAAATAAAATGAATGCGATATTTACTATATGGGGGCCGCCATCTTAAATACGAACACCTAATTACACGAATGACATAGAACACTTTGCTGGGGTATTTGAAACCAAAAATTGTCATTCCAGCTCAGCAGCCAATCTTCGTGTAATTAGGTGTTCGTATGCAAGGGATTTTTCCACACAAAAACGCCGAATTCGGTCGAATTTTGTTTTCGGTTGGCTTAATATAACCCCAACGGATCGTATTTTTGTGAAAGATTGGTATTTTTGTCCTGATTTGTAGGAATCTGAAAAACGCGTTTCACAACTTGTCTCTTATTTAGTTTTATGCCGCATTCAAGATGGCGGCCCCCTTATAGTAAATATCGCATTTATTTTATTATCACGTGTGCGCCAGCCCCGCCAGCTGACTATGATTACGCTTGTAAAATCTTGTGATGTAGATGAGACGATGTTCCTTTCCCCATTCGGTACATATTTGAGAAAAAGAATGCAATAAGCTCGATTTTGTTCATACAATGGGTAAATATGGGCTCAGTGTTCTGAAATTGTTGGTATTCGTTGACAATATAAGGTTATTACGAAGATACCTCAAAGTATGCACGAAGACAGTACAGCGGCAGTATCGACCGACGCGCAGCCGAGGTCGATGCCACAGCGTACTGTCTGAGTCTTTTCCAACCAAGGATACATCACGGCAATGCCGAAATCTAAAAAGTTTAAAAACAGAATCAGCGAACTTCTTTGTATGGAGTCCGGTCAAACCCTGGTGGCAGCCATGTTAGTTTTCATTATTAGAGGACGCTTACACGCGTAATCATTCCATATTTGGAATTCACATTTTCTAATATGTTAGGCTGAAAATACCCCATAAAATACCGCAAAATTAGCTGATGGTCAACAGAAGTATGAAACCGTTACTTATAATACAAGTATATATTTATAAAAGTGAAATATGCTATCGTCTGAACCAAAATACTCTAAGTCATATTCTACATTTTTTTCTACTAAGAATCTTAAATGTATACTAGTATATTGTATACGTAGGTTGAAGGTTAGAACCATAAATGATAATTGTATTGAAGTATTAATTATTGCATTAAACCGAGCGTATTTAAGGCATTCTCAGCACGCTTTTAAACATAATATGTATATTAGGCTAAACAAAACAATTGTTTTGTTGCCCTCAGCGACTGACCGAAAAATATGGAATATCGGGTCACGGTTTTTTTTAATAGGCCTAAATATTAAAAAAAGTGTTTCCTCTAAAAATTAACGATCCCGGACCGTTGTTTGATCCCCAGGGTTCCCGGGGGATAAGTGGCGACTTTGAACCTCGGGTTGATCTGTATTCAAATACAAAAGACTGAAAGAAACACTTTTATTTTTGTGTTTAATATCTAGCATGCGTTTAATTGATTCCCATATACTTCGGCTATTTACGATACCCTTAGTTTTCACGAGTTTTAAAAAAAAAAAATCCGACCGACCGACTCAATTTTTCAATTTTCCGACTTGAGGGCAACGGCGCGATATAACTTATTTTTAAGTATACCGTACATGTTCTAGCGGTTATGATGCTATATATATTACTGTTCATTTATTTTGTATTGACCAAGTTTATTTTGAAAAATGGCACGGAAAAAAAATCGGAAAAAGAGTGTTCCAATGACAGGCGAAACCTGCAAGTTTCTGAATATCAGAAAGCGTATTTTTTACTACGAAATACAGTCCCTCTACGAAACAAAGTCGGACGAGTCGAGTGAAAACCCAAGTGACATTTGCTCTACTCCGGGGCTCAACTACACCGGCGACTGAAGACACCACCGTAACCACCTCGAATGCTGACGATGAGTACACCACTATACTGTCACTGGAGGCTGACGACACGACATCGACATACAGGATGAGCATGTCGAAACGAAAAATATTGCCAGCGAAGTCTGCAGTATCTGGCAACGCGTGCGGTGAAGCGAATAACACGAGACTCGTCGACCTGGATATATTGAAGTGAAATAAATTTCATTTTTGATGGGTATTCGTATCAGTAAGGGAACATTTTTTTCTCTCAAATGTTTGTATAAGGGACATTTGCAAGAAAAATTAAATTCATCATCCACTTTCTGTAAAGCATATAAAATGATGATTCTTCTTTCTCTGGGATTATTCATCCGCTCCACCACTTTCGATGCGCAATCTGTGACACGAAATACATATAGGAAACTCTTCAGAAAAACAGATTATTTTTTATAGAGACGATAGGTGTCAAGCTTGAAAAATGATTGCAGCAATATCAGACGATCTTTGAATAAAGGCGGATAAAAACATATTCACACTGCCAACCCTTTGTATAACACAGGACATACGGCAATCAAAACTAAAAAAAAAACAGTCCGGACACATTGGTAATTATAACAACATTTAATATACGACGTCTTGTCACGATCCAGGATGTTCAACCAATATCAAACAATACGAGACATGATCCTAGTGGTTCTCAGCGGAAATCTACCAAGTTCGCCAAGTGCAGCGGCGTTACAGGTATTATAAATAACATTCAGTATATACTTGCAAAAAGAGGTATGGAATTCCCAAATTTCACAACCATAATTCAATATTGGTACGATTTTGACGTCAAAAATGGCTTAATATCACTCACACGACTTGCAAGAGCATGCTGAGCGTGTGTCCATAAACCCGATGATGAAAGTGTTATACCCAAATATATAAAATATGAGCTCTAGACGACTTTTACCCTCACTCCTGTCATCAATACACCAATGCTCATCTGATTTAAGTCTACCCTCTTTTCTACACACTATAGTTCTAGATTTGTTTATATTGATTTTAAGCTTCCACTGTGTTATACCCAAATATTTAAAATATGAGCTCGAGACGACTTATATCCTTACTCCTGCCATCAACACACCAATGCTCATCTAAAGTCTGCCCTCTTTTCTAGACACTATAGTTCTAGATTTGTTTATATTTAAGCTTACAATAAACACATAATTTATTCAACTGCTTTTGGAAACCGATCATAGAACTACAAGAAATGGATAAATCATTGGAATAAAGCAGATAAAGTAATTTCAACCTTCTTACATATACCCCGTTGTATAACCCACTTTACAGTTATATCGCCTATATCATTAATGAAAAGATTAAATAAAAGAGGAGACAATGCGGAGCCTTGCTGAACAACAGAAGTACAATTAAAAAAGTATGTGATACCGGCAGGTGTCTTAATACATGACATTGCTATGCATTGACTTTTAATACTTTTCATATTAGCTCTGGGAAGTTAAGATTAAAATGCTTTTTCGAAATCAATAAAGGGACAAAATAGTCAGGAAGTAATGTGATGCCTTTAGAATTAGCAACTGTTTTGCGGCGATCAAATCCTTAGCCCATAGACTAGATAA